CAGCATGTCTGGCTCTAGGTGAGGGATCACATCATCATGACCATCCAGGTCATTAAGATCTTTTTTGTATAGTTCTTCTGTGGGTATTTCATACAAAAGGAATTATGCAATATGTGGCCTTTTGTGTCTGGTTTCTTTCATTTACGACAATGTTTTCAAGGTTCACCCATGTTGCATCATGGATCAGTACTTCATTCTTTTTATAGCTGTATAGTATTTCAATGTGTGGATATATCTATTCATTAGATCATGGAAACTGGGTTGTTTCCACTTTTTGGCCGTTATGAATGATGTTACTATGAACATTGACATATATGTTTTTGTGTGGGCATAACATTTTTTTATTTCTCGCGGTTATATACCCAACAGTGTAATTATCAGATCATAAGGCATATGGTAAATCTATGTGTAACCTTCTGAGGAATTGCCAAGTTGTTTTTCAAAATGTTTTTAAAGTTATATTTTAAAATTCTACAAGCAGGACTTGCCTGGCAGTTCAGTGGTTAAGACTCCCTGCTTCCAAAGCAGAGGGCATGGGTCTAATAACCTGATCAAGGAACTAAGATCCCACATGTGGCGTGGCCGAAAAGAAAAAAGTTCTACAAACAATGGATAGGATTCTAATTTTTCCACATTTTTCACTAATGCTTGCTATTGTCTGTCTTTTTTTATTACAGCTGTTTTAGTGGGTATTTGGTAGACTTCACTGTGGGTTTTGATTTGCATTTCCTTGATGACTAATGATATTGAGTATATTTTCATATGTTATAGGCTGCTTGTATATCTTCTTTGGAGAAATATCTATACAAATTGTGTGTCCATTTAAAAGTTGGGTTGTCTTTCTACTGTTGAATTACGTAAGACTTTTTAATACATTCTTTATGTATTTCAAAGTCCCTTATCAGATACATGACTTGTAAATATGGTTTCCCATTCTTCAGTTTGTTTTTTCACTTTCTCTATGGTGTCCTTTGAAGCACAAAGTTTTTAGTTTTGATGAAGTTCAACTTACCATTTTCTTCTTTGGCTGTTTGTCTTTGGTGTCACAAGTAAGAAACCATTGCTTAATCCATGGTCACTGAGATTTCTGCCTCAAATGTCTTCTGAGAATTTGATAGTTGTAGCTTCTACTTTTGATCTGCTCTAAGTTAACTTTTGTTTATGTTTAGGGGCCCAACTTCATTCTTTTGTATGTAGATAGCCAGCTGTCCTAGCACCATTTGTTGAAAAAGCTATTCTTTCTCCCATTGAATTGTCTTGGCACCCAGTCAAAGATAATTGATCATACATATGTGGCCTTATTAAGGGGTTCCCAGGTGGCACTATTAGTAAAAAAAAAAAACCCCACCTGCCAATGAAGATGTAAGAGATGTGCGTTCAGTCCCTGGGTTGGGAAGATCCCCTGGAGGAGGAAATGGCAACCCACTCCAGTAATCTTGCCTAGAGAATCGCATGGACAGAGGAACCTGGTGAGCTACAGCCCATAGGGTCACAAAGAATCGGACATGATTGAAGCGACTTAACATACACATGCACGCATATGACCTTACTTCTGCATTCTCAGTTCTAGTTCACCGATCTATATGTTTATCTTTCTGCTAGTACCACATGGTTTTGATGACTGTAGCTTGGTGGTAAGTTTTGGAATTGGGAAGAATGAGTCCTCCAACTTTGTTCTTTTTGAAGTGGATTCCTCATATTAGGTTTGTAAAGAAATGATGATTTAATGAATGAATAAATGGACGAATGTTTGCATGTTTAAAAGTTTTAATTTGGTGGGAGGGGAAGAGGTTAGGAATTTTTTGTCTTTAAAGTAATCAGCTACGAGACGGGGCTATTTAAGGGTATATATTAAAAAAAAAACAAACATGCTGGGATTGGGTCCTATTTGTGAAAGATGTTTTGGGGGGTTAGGTTTCTGTGGCCTGTGCCGCAGGACAGAATCTGTTTCTGAAATCCGTGTAATTGGCACCATGCTGGGAGCAGACCTGGTGCTCAATAAATATTCATCGATTAAATGCCTTGTCCTTTTGGTTTTGTTTTAACCTATTGATTGTCTTGTTGCTAACTTTTGAAGGACAGTTGCTGAAATTTCCTGCTTTTCTAGCCTGTTCAATAACTATGCAATTTTGGTTTATACTTCAGCCAGTCTTCTGCACAGCACCAAAATATGCTCGACAGATGATTTTTCTAGAAGACAATCATTAGGAATTCTTTTCAGATGGCACATCAAGGAACTGAATTTGTACACCGCCCCCCCCGCCCCCCAACACACACACTTTCCTACCCTAATCTCTTTGCTGTCACTGGCAAGGTCTTGCCTTTTCTTATACTCCAGGGGCAGAAACAATCCCATTTCCAAGGCTGGCAATCATCCCTGCTTTGAGTTTCCTGAAGTACCATCTCTTCCAGCAAGATTTTCCAGACCTAGACAGAGTGGACACTGATTCTTACTGTGAATATGCAGTGTGGTATAGTCTACCCATGGGCTTCCCATGTGACTCAATGGGTAAAGAATCCACCTGCAATGCAGGCGATGCAGGCAGATGTGGGTTCAATTGCCAGGTCGGGAAGATCCCAGAGGAGAGGATGGCAACCCAGTCTAGTATTCTTGCCTGGAGAATCCCATGGACAGAGAAGCCTGGTGGGCTACAGTCCATAGGGTCACAAAGAGTCGAACACTATTGGAGCAACTTAGCACGCATGCATGCACAGCCAAGTGAGTCTACACTGGTGCTTACATCCACCTAGTAAGTACTTCATTATATTGTCTATCATCTCCACACAAACTAAAAAAACACACACAAAAAAAGATGCTTCACATACATTGACAGTTTGAATCTCCACATCTCTGTTGATAATTTGCTCCTGTTAAAAAAAAAAAAGGCCCCAAATGGGCCCCACTACAACAAACCAAAACTTAATTGCAGTTTCAGTGTTCTGTTGAAATGTAATCTTAATCATATATGAGGAAAGGATCTGAAAAAAATTCAGTTCATATATAACTGAGTCACTTCACTCTACACCTGAAACTAGCACAACATTGTAAATCAGCCATACTACTCTATAAAATAGATACATTTTCTAAATAAAGGAAGTAGCTATGAACATTTAAAAAAAACGTAATCATAATCAACTGGTTTGGAATTATCTGATTAGTACCAGTGAGGTCACCTGTCATAGGTCACCTCCATTTCCCAGAGGAAGAAGCAGGAGTCTGTATGATAAAACCTGACAGGACCCTCCTGACCCTGACCTAAAAATAATTCATTATCCTTTTTTTGCTAAGAACTTCTTTACTCCACCCTTCTTCCTATTAAAACAACAACAACAACAACAATAACAACTTTGCACTTTCTGCAACAGGTGGAAGTACCCTTCTAGCTGCTGGAAGGGACATTGCTTGATGGAATAAATCTGAATTGCTTAATAAAATCAATCAGATCATCAAATTTACTCAATTGAATTTTGTTTTTTGACATTCCTAATTTGGTACATCGGACCTAGCCTGTCCTCTGTGTACCTAGCCTTATTTTTTCCCCCTGTACTTATTCCAGTCTGTTCAAAACATATTCTTGCTTTAGGATTTACATTTTTTAAAAAAAGCTTCTTAACTCCCTCCACTCCCCTTTTTAGCTAGGTTTGCTAGGTACACTGGCTACTCAGTAAATATGATTTTGGGGATTATTTTATTGTTAATTGTTTTGTATTCTGTTTCAGAATGCCAGCTACTCAAAGGCTAAAGGTAGAATAACAAATAATCCCCAAATCAGCAATGAAATTTAAGTAATTTCCTTTTTCTAGTTAGCCAGTGGGGTCTGCAAACTTCCAATGGGGTGTCACCAGAAGCTGAAAAGACGGTTAGACTTTTATGTGGTTGTTTTTCCTTCCAGTTGACCTACCTAACAGGTTCAAGTGACCTGGGCAAAGGCAGCTGGGATCCTGTCAGTCACACCCACGACGGCAAATTGAAGCTCTGGCTGGGGGTCAGGAGACCAGGATCATAATTCTGCCTTTTCCACTGTTTTGGGAACTCCTCTTCCATTAATTAACTCATCCAATAAATATTAATTAGTTCCATCTATGTGCCAGGCTCTGTGCTGGGTTTGTAACTATAACAGCCATCAAGACTAAGTCTTTCCATTCACGGAACCTACGACTCACAAAAGAGTATGTGGAGTGGGAAGGCTTATACTATAACATAAGCTATTTCCTCATCACCGAAACAGTGAGACAGCTTCTTAGGTTCACTCAACATTTAGGGTCTGTCAGTTTAGCATGTGATCAAAGCTGAGACATAGCAAGAACTGCCCACTGCTATACAGTCAGTATACAAGTTAATCATGAGTATTATAGCTTTCCTTTACAAACAAGGGCATCTAACACAATAGGGTAGAACTATGTTCAACATTCTATTCAATTTCAACGTTCTCGCAATGCATCACGACCCTCTTTACCGCTGACCTACGGTGAACAGCTGCACCTATTTTCAAAAGGCCCGGTTAGGCATTTGGTATTTCACCCAAGGCTTGTATTTGCATGTCAACACGGGTTAGGTCTGCAGAAAAGTTGGTTTCAGTTTAGCAGGGCGGCAAGGTGCCGGGGAGAAAGGGAGGCGTCACCCTACTACGTTAACAATATAATCTCAGGGATGAGTGAAGAAAATGGCAGTGGTGCAACGACCATGCAGAGGCCATGAAGGTTTTAGGGCAGCTGTCTCCACGCAGAACTCGGAAGCTTCTTTTGAAACGCATTTCAGCATTCTTGTCCGCCCCAAGCTGCCCCGAACCCGCCAAGATCCACTGCTGAAGCGCAGAAAAGCGCGGCGCCTAAAAACCAACGCTGAGGTGGGTCCGGGGCCGCGACTACCGCTGCACAGGCCTCCGCGCCTCCGCGCTCTCCCGCCCGCGCGCCCGTCGCCCGCCCTGCGGGCCACGCCCATGACGTCACCGAACGGGGCGGGGCGAGCAGGAGGGGGTGGGGCGAGCCCCGGCTGTTGAATGGGACGCCGCGACGAGCCGCACATTCCAGCGAGGGCACGTGACGCGGTAGCGCTGCCTGAGGTAAACAACCGCGGCCCCGCCTCCTGGCCCGTCCGCGCGCCCTGCAGTGCTGCTAGCCGGCGGGACGCGCTCCAGCAGGGCGGGCGGCTACCTCAGAGAGTCTTCAGCGGCCGCCGCGGGCCGGAGCAGCGGCGGCGGGCGCACGCGTCCCGGGTCTGCGGGCCGCTAGCGCCGGCAGGGGTCGAGCGCGCGTCCCCTCCCCGCCCCCACCGCGCGCTGTGGCGCAGCAGGAATTTGGCGGGGACCCGGGCGCTATTTGCAGCTCCTGACGCGCCGGCGGCTCTTCGGTCATTTCTATTCTCAGGGCACTGGGTCACCAAGCTCGGCCGGCCCCCTCCCCCGGGCCCGGAGGGTGTGTCCCCTCACCGGGGCTCGGCGCGCCTATAAGGGGCCGAGCGGCGGGCAGGGACATGCAGCTCTACAGCAGCGTCTGCACCCACTACCCAGCCGGGGGCCCGGGTCCCACGGCCGCAACCGCCGCTCCGCCCGCCGCCGCCACCGCCGCCTCGTTCAAGGTCTCTCTGCAGCCCCCGGGACCCGCCAGCGGCGCCCCGGAGCCCGAAACCGGTGAGTGCCAGCCGGCCGCGGCCGCCGAGCCCCGCGAAGCCACCGCCGCTCCCGCCGCCAAGATGCCCGCCTTCTCCTCCTGCTTCGAGATGGTGTCCGGGGCCGCCGCCCCAGCCTCAGCCGCCGCCGCCGCCGGGCCGCCCGGCGGGTCCTGCAAGCCGCCGCTGCCGCCGCACTACACGTCCACGGCGCAGATCACCGTGCGGGCCCTGGGCGCCGACCGGCTCCTGCTGCGCGGCCCCGAGCCCGGCGCCGCGGCGCCCGCCACCCCGCGTGGCCGCTGCCTCCTGCTGACCCCGGCACCAGGCGCTCCGGTCCCGCCGCGGCGGGGCTCCTCGGCCTGGCTTCTGGAGGAGCTGCTGAGGCCCGACGGCCCGGAGCCTGCCGGTCTGGACGCGACCCGCGAGGGGCCCGACAGAAACTTCCGACTGAGCGAGCACCGCCAGGCCCTGGCCGCCGCCAAGCACCGCGGCCCCGCGCCGCCCCCGGGGAGCCCGGAGTCCGGCCCCGGCCCGTGGCCCGAGGAGCGCCCGGCGGAGAGGAACCTCCGCGGCTGGGACAGAGCCGGGGACCGCGGCGACGGTTCAGGTGCCGAAGAGCTGGGGCGGCCCGACACGGAGGCCGAGGCGGCCCCGGCCCGGAGCAGCGAGGCGGCCCCGGCCCGGAGCGGCGAGGCGGTGATCGTGTCCAGGTCGGATCCTAGGGACGAGAAACTGGCCCTGTACCTGGCGGAGGTGGAGAGGCAGGACAAGTACCTGCGGCAGAGGAACAAGTACCGATTTCACATCATTCCCGACGGCAACTGCCTCTACCGGGCGGTGAGCAAGGCGGTGTACGGGGACCAGAGCCTGCACCGGGAGCTACGGGAACAGACGGTGCACTACATCGCCGACCACCTCGACCACTTTAGCCCCTTGATTGAGGGCGACGTGGGGGAGTTTATCATCGCTGCTGCCCAGGACGGCGCGTGGGCCGGGTACCCTGAACTGCTGGCCATGGGGCAGATGCTGAATGTGAATATTCATCTGACTACTGGAGGGAGGCTGGAGAGCCCCACGGTGTCTACCATGATTCACTATTTGGGCCCGGAGGATTCCCTAAGGCCTAGCATTTGGCTCAGTTGGCTCAGTAACGGACATTATGACGCGGTGTTTGATCACTCGTATCCGAACCCGGAGTATGACACTTGGTGCAGGCAGACTCAAGTGCAGAGAAAACGCGATGAAGAACTCGCCAAGTCCATGGCCATATCCCTGTCCAAAATGTATATTGAGCAAAATGCATGCTCTTGAAGTGTCTGAGACCCTCGCCCTGGGAAAATTGCATACCTAATTTGTGTTTGGAGAGTTATATGAACTTTAATCAGGGTAATTGCACTTTTAAACTTTCTAGTAGATTTACTGTAGGTGTAATGCCTTAATCATTTTTTTGAATGTTTTCTCCTCAAAGCTGAAGGTTGCTGGGCACCTCAATGATGTTTCATGGTAGCTTTGGGTGATCCTACTGCTATTTATGATTTTCTGTATAAAGTTGGCACTACTTAATTTGCAAGCTGATTTCTCAGTGTAAATTTGTTCATTCCTGGTAATCTATTTTCTATAAAAACGTATTTTTGCACAACATTTTTAACTATTGGTGTACCTTCATCTAGGATGTGTTTCATTTTGACAAACAGCTTTCCGGCATAAATCCAGAGAAGTGCTTTATATGAAGTTTATTATTTTGAGCAGTTTGTGATTTAGTGTTTTATGTTGTAGGATTTGAATTTTAGGTAATTATTTCAAATGGCTATTGATGCTTTCATGTTACCAGATAATTGACCCATTCCGTTTTGATGACAGATTAGTTGTTTGGAAAATCATTATTTTTCTAGAAATGGTCAACCTTTTAAAGACAAAATACTTAAGGGGAGGTTGTGGGAAGATTTTTTTTTCTTAAGAATAGTACCAGCTCTTACTTGAATGAAAGTCTGATATTTGCTGATGGCAGAGTGATTATTCTGTACTCTGGTTGATGTTTAGATTGTCTGGTGCTTTCAGTTGTTTTTATTTATATTTGTCTTTTTGTTGAAAAGAATTTTTTAACATGATAGAAATCTTTATGACAAGATAAGCCTCCTGCTTCATATATAGTTTCTTGGATTCAACTGAGAGATTTGAAAATTAATGGCATAAATGCCTCCAAGCAACCCTGACAATTATTTTATAGCAGGAGAATACTGTCTTAATAGTCTACTCCTTTTAAATTCTTTCATAAGGCAAAATAGGATTGCCCTGTATTATGTACAGTACTAATGTCTGTATACAGAGCTTGTATGGTTTGCTGGGTCAAACAATGTTTTCAACCTAAAATCTATCTCATTTCCACTTTAACTACTTTTAGTGGTATTTATTAAGTAATGCAGTTTGTACTTTTTTATTTTGTAACATTTTGTGATTTTTTTTGTACAATACTGTATTTGTACAATAGAGCAGTTCTCAGCTGATGGAATGAGTGAATAAAATGCGTAATTTTACTTTTACGGTGTCTTTTTGCCTGAAGTAACTTTTATTTATTTTTTTATTTGGCTACACCGGGCGGCATTCAGGGTCTTAGTTCCCTGACCATGGATCGAATCCATGTGCCCTGCATTGGGAGCACGGAATCCTAAGCACTGGGCCGCCAGGGAATTCCCAGATTAAAATGTTTTAGAGTAACCAAAGAAATGCCCCTTTATGCAGTCTGTCCTCTTGAGATTAAGGGACTTCCTTAATTTTAAGATGTGTTATCAGATTTAGTTGAGAGGTGTGTCTGTACACATAATGCTGACATGTTTATATTGCAGGATCAACCCGACTAGTTTGAATTTCTTACTTTTCAGTTGATGTCATGCTTATAGACAGTTGACTGAGTTCATCGCTTAACCATGGAAGGATGGTCAAAGACTAATGGAAGGATGCTATTGGCTATCAAGGGAAGGCAATTTGTCAAAGGTTTAAATGTTACCATACCATGAATCTCTGGTTTTTTGTTAGTTTGCTTCATAGCTTCACTATTTACATAACGGGAAGAAAGAAATTCCTTGTTTGAATTACACAGCTAAATGTGTTTCTCCCCCTTTTCTCCAATTTATTTAGAGGTGGATAAAGTTTGGGGTGCTTGAAGTTTACACAGGAAGTGAATAGACTTAAGTATAAGTTCCTAAAAGGCTTTCTGTAAGCTCATTACAGTTTTGAGGAAACCATTTCCTTCCAGTGTTGTTCTGTTTCATTTTCAAATTGGGATCCCAAGTCCTGGATTTAAATTCCCAAGGAGGGTGATACCTTTCATTAAATGGATTCTAAGATTGTATTCCATGGCAGCATGTTATTTTGGTTGTCTTGTCTGAAAGATTTATGTCTTTCTCATCCTTTCCTGGAGAAGGAAATGGCAACTCACTCCAGCGTTCTTGCCTGGAGAATCCCAGGGACAGGGGAGCCTGGTGGGCTGCCGTCCGTGGGGTCGCACAGATTCAGACATGGCTGAAGCGACTTAGCACCAGCAGCAGCATCCTTTTTCTATGGTTTTTTGTGCTGTTGTTTGAAAGAAATTTAATATTTGTCACTCCTTTATGCTTCATGTTTGTTCTTTCCTGCCATCCCACTTTTATATGTTAGCAGTCAACAATCCTGGATCACCAAGGACTTGAGCAGTGGAAGAGATGGAAATGTGGTTGGCTAGTTTTCTTTTAGCCAACATTTATTAAACAGTTCATTCCTTCAGTTACTCAGATAGCAGCTAAGGGGCTCAAAACTGTATATGAAGGAATGATGTGTTCAGTTGATTCTGTGAGCTAAAGTTTCTTTAGAGCTTACTACCCTGTAAAATATGATGGGGTTGTATAGATTCTATAAAGAAATCTAATTGTGTTTTCAGGTAAAGTAGTATGAAAATCATACTGTTACCTTGAAAATTGTATTAAAGTGGTACATAGATAAAAACTATGATACAAATAACTATTAGTGTGATTTTTGTCTTATTGTCTCATTTAAAAATGGCATAGTATGTCAAGATTTTGATGAAAATCTAAAATTAATTCAATCATAGTTCATTTTCTTTCTTTAAAAAAAATTATTTATTTTTGGCTGCGTTAGGTCTTTGTTGTGGTGCATGGGCTTCTCATTGTGGTGGCTTGTTGGAGAGCCACAGGCTCTAGGATGAGGGTGCAGTAATTGTGGTGCATGGGCTTAGTTGCCCTGAGGCCTGTGGGATCTTCTCAGACCAGGGGTTGAACCTGTGTCTCCTATATTACAAGGCAGATTCTTAACCACTGGACCACCAGGGAAGTCCCTTTTATTCATTTTCCACTCACATTTTTTTCTCTGAGATAAAATAGACTCATGTTAGCATATTTAATTGGACTGAGAAGTAAACCGCTATTGATAAGTGGCACAAAGGCATTCGAATGTGATTCTTCAATTACATTTTTCTAAACTTGTAGTCCATATGCTTTATATAGTAACGTATTCAGGAGGCACAGAGCCTTTACCCAGAAACCACATTTTATAGAGAAGAGGAAATGCCTTAGGAGCCTTTGCACATCAGAATTGGTTAGTTTCAGCTTGGGTAAATATAGTCTTAGGTTGCAATCTTTTGTTCATAATTTTTGAACTGAAAAAGGATCTTGAGATAATCTCACTACTTTATGTGTTTTTCCTCTTTCCCGAAGAGATGAGAAAGTTTAAACTTAAAATTTTAGCTTGGTGTTCAGTGTGCTGATATGAAGGAAAAGCATCGAAAATAAAAATAGATTTTAGACCCTTGGACATTGGATAATTTCACATGTAGGAAAATGTAGTGGAATAATTGAAGAGTTGTTTAGTGGCTCAGTTGTGTCCAACTCCTTGCGACTCCATGGATTGCAGCAAGTCAGGCCTCCCTGTCCTTCACCATCTCCTGAAGCTTGCTCAAACTCATGTCCATTGAGTTGGTAATGCCATCCAACCATTTTGTTCTCTGTTGTCCCCTTCTCCTCCTGCCTTCACTCTTTCCTAGCATCCAGGTCTTTTCCAGTGTGTCAGTTCTTTGAATCAGGTGGCCAAAGTGTTGGAACTTCACCTTCAGCATCAGTCCTTCCAATGAATATTCAGGACTGATTTCTGGTGGGATTGACTGGTTTGATCTTGCATTCCAAGAGACTCTCAAAGTCTTCTCCAACACCACAGTTCAAAACACTCTCAATTCAAGAGTATATCCTTCAAATGTGTATCATGTTCAAATTTATTTGTCATGTGAAATTATAAGTACAGGCTTTGTTTATTTATTTTGATATCCCTAGAGTGTCTGTAACTTGTCTCAAAGAGTCACCAAGAAACTGGATGGCATTTAATTCAGTTTCACTCCCCAAATGTACACAATGCCATAGACATTGGTTCTCTCTCTAGTCCCCTGGCTTCCAAGCTGGTACCTAGCAGAGTCAGTGAATATTTGTTGAATGAAGGAACAAATGGAAGGGAAATAGAGTTTTGGAATTTAGTTGGTGGATGTGAAATTAAATAAAAAATGATTTGACTCTAAAATTACTGGGAATTATCACTGACAATTCTGAACATCTTAAGTAGTTTTATAAAAAGGGTATTAAAGTATTGAATTCTATAATGGAAAAAAATAGGTTTTTGAAACCAAAATTTAGAATTTATTGATTTTTCTCTTTGTGTCATCTTCCAAATACCTTGAGACCAAGCTCAGAAAGATTATTTAAAAGGAGAACTTCACTAAAGTGATTTTAAAGGTTCTGCCATGTCCAAGGGGGGTTGCTCTGACTTGCTTTGGGGTAACACCCATCCCAAGTCTAGTCTACAGCAATTCCTAGTTTTGCTGTTTTCTTTCTATGACCCAGTTGGAAGGTGGGAATGGTGGAACAGATTTCAAACATGCTCTCTAGGATTGTTGTGTTCAATAGTCCTAGTTGCATGCTTATGCCATTGGTGTAAAGCCTGGGCGAGTAGCATGCATCAGATCAAAACAGATGTATAGGGGGAAAAATCAGTGTATTTCTTCCTGCTGTAAATTAGGTCAGTGACCATTATTCTGTGAGTCAAGTTCAGAGAGTTCACTGTCATCAGATTACTCATAAAACATTATCTAGCCTGCTTTCTCACAAGTGAAATTTCTAAATAATTGAATAGTCCATTTACGTGTAAAGTATAAAACAGAACAACTGCCTTTTTTTTTTTTAACTGTACCTAGTGGCATGCAGGGTCTTAGTTCCCTGACCAGGGGTCAAAACAGAGTCCCCTTCAGTGGAAGCACAGTCTTAATCACTGGACTGCCA